ATTTTCTGTTCTGCATCTTTTTATCTCTATATGAATGAAAAGTGTTTTGTGTTTAAATGTCACATCCTGGGATGCAGAGCCTTGAGAAAGGGCTATTATGTATACTCAGGCTATAGGCAACATTCTTTTAGACAAAGGTGCAGAGCCAGCATGACTAAGCACGGGCAACAGAGCACAAAGTTTAGAGGTAAAAGAATACTTCCAATGTGGAGTCAAGTTTGTTCTTCTCTGCTACTTTTGGACATAGTATATGACTGCCACCATGCTGAAGCAAAGCCAGTCTTCAGAAACAGAGGGAGAGAAGAATGTGTCCTTCACATGCAGAACAGAGATGACAGACCATGAAGTTCTAAGACTAGAGAGAGAGAGAAAAAATGTCAAAAAGATATGAATCCCTGAGAGCTTCATACTTCTTGGTTCTAGATCTTCAAGAGGTTCAAGAAAATTCTTATTCTGTTGTTCTGTGAATCATTTTAACGAACTACCCTATTTTGAATAAGCTGCTTAGAAGTAGCTTGACCGAGATGCAAGGAGAAAGAGTTTCAAAAATGAGAGAAAATCTCAGATTTAATGTTCTTCACAAAGATGTAAATAGATGTTTTACCTGTGCAATAAAAATAAGCTAATTGCATGCACATGGAAAAGTAGTTAGTTGAAAAAAAGAAATGTAGTGAAAGTAAAATTTAAACTGCAGAAAATTGACTTAACAGATAGGAGTTTGGAAGTTTCCTAGAAAAGAAATTACAGGATTATAGAATGTGACCATTCTTAAGACTTTTGATCCTGTTTCAAAATTGCTATAAAGAACACTTGAACTAGTTTTGTCACAATTTATATGAGACAACATTCATTTTGCCTTAGTCTAACATTGAGCATTCCTAGGGTTTTAAACTTTTGCCAGTTATGAATCCCAATGTTTTATCTTTTCTTCAAACTGCAAGGGTTTTGTTCATCTAGTAGTCCAGAAAATTTTCATGCCTGTGAATTATTTCACAAATTTTATTAATATATGAAAAAATACAGAAAACTTCACAAATTATACATGCACAGTGCGATGTATAGTCACAGTGTCTACACCTATGCAGCCAGCACTAAGATCAAGAAGCAGAATATTACCAACACCCTAGGAACGCTCTCATTTGCCTGGCCAATTATACCATCTCCCAAAGAAAACCAACTCTCCTTCTAAACCCATAAATTAATTTTACTTATTTTTTAATCTTATATAATGAAGCATGAAATCAGTGTCTGGTTTTTTCCACTGAGTAGTATGTTTCTGAGATTCATGAATGTTTTCAAGTACTGTAATTCACGCATTCTTACTGTTTCTCCTTTTATGAAATGTCACAATTTACTTATTCATTTTACTGTCACGAACATTGGATTCTTTCCATTTGTTGGCTATTATGGACGATGGTGCCTTCAAGTATCAATGATTGTGAATTTACTAAATTTTTTCTTTTCAGTCTCTTCCAATTTTTTTAAAAGGTATAAAGTTTCATTAGAAAAATCATATGCAAAATAAAAAATATATTTATCAAGAACAATAATGGCATTATTTCATTCAGCAAATTCATTTAAAACATGGGTTACAGTATAGAAAGAGAAATGACAACATAAAGTCTCACACAACTAACTGATCTGGAAAACCAGTCCCTTAAAAGGCAACTGTAGTTCCATTTTCCAAGCTCACTTCTTAAGTTGAGGGTCTTCTGTAATTGGTTTTACATTATTTTCTCCATAACAAGTTTAAAGATGCATGTCATTTCCTCATCACCAAGTACTTTATTCCCCAAAATGTTTAAACCAAGTACCTGATAACCAGATGTCTCTGATGCCTCCAATTCTTTTATTTTGTTAAGGAATATGAAACTGTTTTGAAAGTCAATCCAAGATCAAGTCCATACCAAAGTTCTAGCACTTGGATATTTGTCCTTGTTCACTTTTTAGGAAGTATGATTAACAGTCATCAGTAGCTGCGCAACTGAGATTATAATGAGTATTTTTTTTTCTCTTTGTAAAGTCTGCCTACTAGGTTCTACCTCTTCCCTGCCCAACCCTGGGAGCTCCACCCCCCCAATCAGATTTAGATTTGGGAGGAGGTGATTTTGTTCCAAGTGTCTCAATTTCTTCTGTGGTCAGATTATATGAGTTATTTAAGATTTTTCAAAAAGGAAGAAAAAAGAAGTCTCTTTTTATGGTTTCAACAAGAAAATATTAAAAGCCTAAGAGAGGGCTTCCCTGGTGGCGCAGTGGTTGAGAGTCTGCGGGTTCGTGCCCCGGTCCAGGAAGATCCCACATACCGTGGAGCGGCTGGGCCCGTGAGCCATGGCCCCTGAGCCTGCGCGTCCGGAGCCTGTGCTCTGCAACGGGAGAGGCCACAGCAGTGAGAGGCCCGCGTACCAAAAAAAAAAAAAAAGCCTAAGAGAAGTTTACCAGCTGTCCCAACTCCATTCCGTCAAGGCTGTCAAACAGCTTCCCACTTGCTGTGACAGCAGTGGCAGGATGTCCATTATCAACTACTGTCAGCACTAGTATGATAATCCAGATTGGGTCTTTTTCACTGCTCACTTTATTTCTAAAAAGCAAAAGCCTTTGTAATTAGTTGAAATCTATAAATTCAGTCTCTGAAAGTGAGGGTATTTGTGTTGTTCCATTCTGTTCGGTTACATGCACATGACAAAAGACAGGATGACTCATTTATTCTGGACAAAACCAGACAGTGACAGCTGCAACAGAGGTTGGCTAAAATACTCCTGCAGCTTGGAGAAACTAAAGCAAAGTGCTTTAGTTCCACCTCTTCCTCCTCCTCTGGGAGCTCCACCTCCCCGATCAGATTTAGATTTGGGAGGAGGTTATTTTGGTCTAAGTCTCTCAATTTCTTCTGTACATCCAGTCAAGTAAGAATTTGGGGCACTGAAGTAGGATGCCTATGTTTCTGCATACGTAGTTGCTATTTGTAAGAGTTGGTCCAGCTGCAAGCCAGCCTGGTGGAATTGTACTATCTCTTCCAAATAAATGAAGGCGTCTTCTACCAAGACAAAAAAGTTCAATTATATGAAAAATTTCTACGGGCTTTTCTATATTGCCAATTTCAGGTTCTTCTGTGATAATCAAGTCAATGTCAACAATAGCATGAATGAAGTCCCATCTGTGCTATGCTCAACAGTTCCTTTGATCCCCATAAGGCAGTGTTCCTTTGTTCTCTGGAAGACGGCCTTTGGATCTAAAGTCTTGGTCTTCCCAGGATTGTTTTTATTGGTTTTAATCCAACAAATATCTTCACATCTGTATGTTTACTTGCATAAACACACTCTTCCAAGGTCCAATCCTTCCCCAGAACCACACCAGAGAAAAATAAATGATCGAGGTGCTGCAATCTCATCAATTTCTAACTTCATAATGTCACCCCAAGTCCAGCATTTTTCATTAGCAGTGATGCCAGTCTCTCTGTAATATTCTTCTAAAGGGGGTTCAAGAAGAATCACATCGAATTTGGGTGTTAGTTCTCTGATGTCAAAGGCTTCTATATCTGCTTGTAAGTACATAGGAGGAGTGTTAGATTTATCTGTTAACATCCTTCAGCCTGATGAGCTCCCTCAGTTTAGGGTATTCTTCAAATCTGTCAGCCAAACCTACATCTCTGATGAAATTTTGAGCTCTATGTCCAGCGTCTATAAAATGTTGGCAATAATCATTATGGGGATTTAAACTCTGTGTTCCCTTAAGAAAAGTACTAGAATCTTTGTAAATCTCTTCTTCATATGGCAAAATCTCTTCCTCCTGTTGCATTTCTTCTTTTTTTTTTTTTTTTTTTTTGCGGTACGCGGGCCTCTCGCTGTTGTGGCCTCTCCTGTTGCGGGGCACAGGCTCCGGACGCGCAGGCTCAGCGGCCATGGCTCGCAGGCCTAGCCGCTCCGCAGTATGTGGGATCTTCCCGGACCGGTGTACGAACCTGTGTCCCCTGCATCGGCAGGGGAACTCTCAACCACTGCACCACCTGGGAAGCCCCTCCTGTTGCATTTCTAATTCATCCTTATATTCTTCCATTTTGTCTTCATCTGTCTCTCCTTCATCCTGATACTTAACGTTTTGCATTTGGAGCAGAAGTATCATAGGAAGCCCTGCAAGTTTCTCTTGTTTCAGCAATTTCTCTCTGCTCGTCTTTGCTATTTAACACAACATCAATACTGGCAGCACTTTCAGCTCCCAACTGCTGCGCGAGAAGCTGTCGCGGTAACTTCTGCCGCTCCCGGATCTCCTGCAAGTGGCTCTCCATGTCCCAACCCTTGTTTTCCACTACCTCGAAAACTTGGCAATTAGCGGATGAATACCCGCCCAGTTTTTCTTCGGAGACCGTGGAACACAAAATTCTCCAGGAGCTTCAGGAGACGGGTACCCAGTATTTTTTCAATAGGTGTTTCCTCTTCCAATGTATTTATGCTTCACAAGTTTTTCTCCATTTGGGAATTAAAAACTCATTCAGCTATATTTTTCTAGCTCTTCAAAATGATTTTGTCTTAAATATTTAACTATTAAATACACTTTGAATTAGTTTATTGAGTGATATGTTATGAATACATCTATTTTTAATCCAAATAGTTAAATAATTGCACCATTACATGAAGTAATCCACCTTTGAAACTTCGATCTTTAGTGCAGATTTTCTTTTTTTTAATGTATTTATTTATGGCTGTGTTGGATCTTCGTTTCTGTGCGTGGGCTTTCTCTAGTTGTGGCAAGCGGGGGCCACTCTTCATCACGGTGCGCAGGCCTCTCACTATCGCGGCCTCTGTTGTTGCGGAGCACAGGCTCCAGACGTGCAGGCTCAGCAATTGTGTCTCATGGGCCCAGTTGCTCCGCGGCATGTGGGATCTTCCCAGACCAGGGCTCGAACCCGCGTCCCCTGCATTGGCAGGCAGATTCTCAACCACTGCGCCACCAGGAAAGCCCTTTAGTGCAGATTTTGTGATCTCATAAATTATTCACAGATGCATGTGTTTACATGTGTTTTCTTTATTTCAACACTCATACTGATTTTAAACCAAAGAATTAATGTTTAATTAGAAGAAATAAAGGACTTTTAATGTTGATTAATTCTAAATGTAATTATAGATAACGAAAAAAATACACTCAACAGAAATCTCAATCATTTGAGAAATCTCAATCTCAGATCAAAAGACATGCAGAATTCATTGTGCATGCTATTTTTCCTTTTGTCATATTGGCTACCAATGCCGAATATTACTCAAATCATTTTAATTTAAAATGTTCAAAATGTCCATCAAACTCATGGCAACTAATGTAAGTACAGCTTACTCATTTTGCTTATTAATAAAGTCGTATAATTAACGTTTATGTGAGCAGCACAAATTAGTATGTATATTTAAAATATGCTTTCTGGCTAGTAGATTTTTTATGTGATTGTTTTACACTGATTCTACTCCTCATTTATATCCCAGATGAACTTCAAGGGAAAATCTTTCATCTTCATTTGGAATATTCTGTCAAATCTTTCATTTTGCTCCACAGTCAAGTGATGTTTCCAGTCTCCGATGGTACCTAGTGGGATAAGCACATGGACAGCACTTGGTGAGGAGATAGCACTATCAGGATAAAAGTTTCCTGCAACCCACTCTAATCTGTTCTCCAAGGCGAGCTAAATGTCTATCTGTTAGTTCCCCATGGGGCTTGATACCGTACTTTTTTCTTATACAGGGATGAGCTAAGAAAAAATCTTAGGATGCAGTAACACAGAAAATAGAGTTATCGTCCACTACCTTATGTATTAGACTTCCACCAGCCACTGCATTAAATTATAGCCTTTCCTTAGAAGGAAAAATAAAGCCAAAATACATGAAGAGATTAAAATATTTAAAAATATTTCAGTAAGTGCCAGGCACCACACTTGTCAAACTACATCTATCATGAATATAATTCTTAACCAACACTTCAAGATAAGTACTACTTCATTAAAAAAATTGGACCCAAATGTTTTCAAGTAATGAAATCAAAGTCACAGAGGTTGGCCAGAGCTGCCATTGCTGCAGTTTTATATGACACAAGTTTGAAACCATCATTATTCAGACAATTTTACAATGAAGATTAATAATTTGGCATTTTTAAGGTATCAGATTTTCTTATGTAAAGGTTATTGTTGGAATGTGGAATAGTAAGCAAGCTTTTATGGGCTTGAAAAATGCTTTATATGTAATCTGATTGAGCAATGAGAAGTGAAAGCTGATAATACATGGGACAAAAGAAGAAACAATAACTTTTTAAAATATCAATATCTACATCAATTTCAATAAGATCTTTAGATAATTAAGATCAATCAATGCCCATCACATAATGCTAACTTATGAAAATTTTAGGGAATAAAATATGAATAAATTAGAGAAGTACCCATTATGTTTTAGAATGGTGTACCTTAAAAGATTAAATTAAAAAATTTTTGAGCTTAAGGAGTATCAGAAGGAAAATATTTTCTTTCTTAACAACTCCTGGCATGTTATAGGAGCACAATAAAAATGTATCACACATTGTTGAATAATTGAATAGCAGATTAGGTTAATGAGGTATCAGTCTACTTTTGACAATGAAGGAAATCTAACACATGAGGAAATTACAATAGTTCAAACCCCGTCTCTCAAAACAAAATACATGTTAACTTTACTTCTAGGATGTTCTAGGAAAAATAAAACAAAGACTTGCAGCTATTCTGGTCACATATATCCTTTGCCTCCAGATAAGACTTGTTAACCAATTTTCAAGAGTAGGGTCACTTGTACTAGAAGGAAAGAATCTAATATTTATAAGTCAGAATGGTTCTGTTTCCAGGGATACTTTTAGAGGCTATTTCAGTTAGAATCTTTGGTCCTCTCTAGGGCCCAGATGGCAGTGCTCGAAAAGAAATGTTGGAAGCACTCCTTAATTAATCTAGGGGCCAAGGAGTCAAGAAAACGTTCAACATTTTGCTCCTTTTAACCACTGAGCATCACCTTTGCGCAGGAAATCTCCTTCTTTTGTTCTTGTCCAGTTTTCAGCTTCTAGAATATAATCGTAATTCGCTTGTGGATCAAGTTTCATGTTCTGAAATGTAGCCTGGTTCACAACAACATCCAAATCCTCTTCACTCAGTTCTTTTTCAAGAAAACTGCTGATTTTAAGCACAGAACTTCTGAGATCCTGAAAAAATTGTGTGTATAAGAGTCTATTAAGCCTATAAGGAATACATGAGTTACAGACCAACATCTTTATCACATATTGGAAAACTGAAAGTGCTTGGGGTTATTCTAAGTCTAAAGTTTGACAAGAATATATTCCTACCTTATTTGTTCTTTGAAAATGAGTGCTCTGGTTGTCAGCTCTGTTAGAGCATCCTACTGTTTGATTTTATAAGGAGAACTCACCTCAATTCATTCAAATAACCAACACTATTAGGATACCTAATAAGTTTTAAAAACTGTGCAAGATGCTGGAGAAGGTTAAGAGAATAATAACATGCTATCTGGGTTCATTAAGAATCCACAGTATCATGAGGAGTAGAGTCAAGCAAGTAATTAAATACCATGGGCACAAGAAAGAAAAGCCCAGGTTTGGATGGCTTCTTTGGTGACTGCTACAAAGCATTTAAAGAATTAACACCAATACTCATCAAACTCTTCCAAAAAATTGAAAAAAAGGGAATACTTTCAAACTCATTCAATAAGGAGCATTATCCTGATACCAAAGCCAGAAAAACACTATGGGAAAAGAAAATTAAAGACCAATATCATGAAAGATAAAAATGCAAAAATCCTCAACAAATTACTAGCAAAATAAACCAACAACACATTAAGAGAATTATATACCATGATCAAGTGGGATTTACTCCTGTCATGCAAGCAAGTTTAAACATATGATAATAACGTAATGCCACATTTACAGAAAAAAGATAAAGAAACGGCATGATTATCTCAACTGATGAAGAAAAAGCATTTGACAATATCCTTCACCTTTTTGTGACAAAACACTGAATGAAGGAAGAATAGAAGGAAACTACCTCCACCTAAAAGGTCATATATGAATTACCTACTACTAAAATTGTACTCAGTGGTGACAGACTGGAAGATACTTTGCAAAGATCAAGAACAAGACACTTTTTTTTTCAACATAGTACTGGAAGTCCAAGCCAGAGAAATTAGGTAAGAAAAAGAAATAAACAGCATCCAAACTAAAAAAGAAGTAAAATTATTTCTCTTCACAGACAATATGATTTTATACACAGAAGACCCTAAGATTCTGCAAAACAAACTGTTAGGACTAATATACAAATTTTAAAATGTTGCACAGTACAAAACCAACAGGCAAAAGTCAGTCACTTTTCTATATAATAACAAAGAAAAATCCAAATGGAAATTTTTTTTAAATTCCATTTACAAGTTCAGCAAAAAGAAAAAAATACTTAGGAATAAACTTAACCAAGAGTGAAAGATTTGTGTAGTCAGAACTGCAAGCCACTGCAAAAGAAATTAAAGAAGACACAAATAACTGGACCAACATCCAATGTTGATGAATTGGAAGACTTAATAATGTCAAGATATCAATACTACCCAAAGTGATCCACAGATTCAATGCAGTCTTTATCAATATCCCAGTGACATTTTCTTCTACAATTTATGTGGAATCTCAAGGGACCCTGAAAGTCTAAAGCAATCATGAAAACAGAGAGGAAAGTTGGAGGCATCAGACTCTTGAGTTCAAAACTTACCAGAAAACCACATTTATCAAAACAGTGTGGTGCTGACATAAAGTCAGACAGATAGGTCAATGGAACAGAATGTACAGCCCAGAAAGAAACCCCTACATATAAGATCAAATGAATTTTGAGAAGGGTACCAAGATCATTCAATGGAGAAAGGACAGCTTTTTCAATAAATAGTTTTGAGAAAACTGAATGTTTACACGCAAAAGAATAACTATGGTATGCTATTTATACCATTGACAAAAATTAACTCAAAATGAATTAGGCTTAAATATATTTCTCCAAGGATAATATATAAAAAATGTATAAGCACATGAAAAGATACTCAACATTATTAATCACTAAGGAAAAATAAAACAAAAACCACAATGAGATACCTCACAAGGACTAGAATGGCTATTATTTAAATAAATAAAATAAGTGTTGATGAAGATGTGGAGTAATTAGAAATACCTCGTGTACTACTAGTAGGAATAAAATGGTGCAGTCAGTATGGAAAATAGTATGAATAGTACGGTGGTTCCTCAAAAAAATAAGTATATAATTACAATATCATCCAACAATTCTACTTGGGGGTATAAACCCACAAGAATTCAAAGGGGTACTTCCCTTGCTACGTTTCTGATAGTATCTTTTGTTACCTGGGTAGGCTTTCTCTCCGTACCCAACCTATTTGTCTTAATGTCTCTCAATTACAGATTCTAGTTCTTTTTTTTCTCTCTCCTCTTTCCCCCTTTCTTTCTTCCTCCTCTTTTTCTACCTTTCTCCCTTCCCACTCTCAATTTTATGCATAATCATAGTTTCAGTTATAGTGTATACAGTGATACAAAGATAACTAGGAGAATGCAGTTCATTAACCAAGATAAGAAAAGGTCTCAAAGGAATAATTTTAAAAACAAAACACTCTTCCTACCTTCTTCATCTCCTCATACATCATGAACAAAATATTGAAGTCATGTCTGTGTTCATACCAGCCTCTGATGTGATCAAACCAAAGGCTTCCCATCACTGTGGAAAATTAATACATAAGAAGGTAAAAATGTTGCACTTATTGAACAGCAAACTACAGTTTTTCTTTTCTGTTCTGGATCATCAAGACAAATCAAGCACCCACCACTGGACTAGATCTATGCTACCTTTTTAAAATGGTGTTTGAGCAAACAAGTAAATGGTTTTCACAGAAACCTGCCTTTGCAAGGTACTCTGTGTATGTAAGGAATAGGGAATTCAGAAAAAACAATCTCAAAGAATTCATTTTGAAGATTTCTTTAAGGTAAGCCCCTTCCTTTTCCTACTTCATCCACCTGAAAACATAAGTCTTTATTTCCCCTCTTGTTGCCTGTTTTAAGATCTGTTCAGAGCAAGTTTAGCTATCTATTTATATTGGGCTGGCCAAAAAGTTCCTTCGGGTTTCGCCATGTTACAGAAAAACCCGAAGGAACTTTTTGGCCAACCCAATATTTAGCTAACCTGAATATAATTTTTGAAATGAGTGAGAGCCCTGATTGCACATTCCACAAGCCTCTTGCATCAATTAATCCTCCTCAGTGCTGGAATGAACATTTCACAGCTGCCATATAAAGCCTACCCAAGGGCCATGACAGAGCACAAAAACTTCACCCAACCTAAACATTAGCTATATTGAAACACCTGGATCTAACTTTGGATCTAGCCAGTTTGAATTGCTAGGCCATTTGTAGATCTCTTTTCATTTGGTCAAAATATATCTTTGCAACCTTGACAATCCCCAGAGTGGTCCTGCTGAGGACAGAAAAACCTTTGGGTGACAGATTAAGTTGACAGACAATAGTGACCGCTTATGTGCAATTCCTCCTTCTATGATTACCCTTCTCCATCTCCCCAAACTTTTTTCCATGGGTTTGAGACTTGTTGACTAAACAGCAACATTGCCTCATAAAATGTTGCCTGAGAAATGAATTAATAGTTACCTTTTCCATCTAGAAACCTTTTCATGAAATGTTCTATGTTATCGGAAGGTTCAAATGTAACTAACCAATTTGAAAAATGAAAATATGAAGTCAAAACATCCTTGGGGTTTCTATAGATGTAAACAATCTGCAGGGGGAAGAGTGAAACAATTTTAACAATTCTTGGTCATCTTAACAGATATTTTAATATCTACATAGTATTACATCATATGAATGCATAATAATTTATTTTATCTAGGAAAATCATAATACTGCTTTAGGGAAAGACAACTAATTTCGAAAAAAGCATAAGAAAAAGGAAAAATGTTGTGGAATTATGAAGGTAACAGGGTCAGATATACTTAAAATGGGCTTTAATTAAAACTTCAAAAAATTCTGTTGATTTACATTTATAACTACTTGATAACTTAGCAAAAATACCAAAAGCTTCTAAACTTATTTACAAGACTAGAATAAAAGCAATACTAAAATAAAGATAGAGCAATCGCAAAAAATTAAAGTATATATATATATATATATATATTTTTTTATTATTATTATTTTTTTTTTGCGGTATGCGGCCTCTCACTGTTGTGGCCTCTCCTGTTGCAGAGCACAGGCAGGCTCAGCGGCCATGGCTCACGGGCCCAGCCGCTCCGCGGCATGTGGGATCTTCCCGGACCGGGGCACGAACCTGTGTCCCCTGCATCGGCAGGCGGACTCTCAACCACTGCGCCACCAGGGAAGCCCTAAAGTATATTTTTAAATAATTACAGATAAAAATTTCTGAGTAAAAGAAAACAAAACTCTTCTTGCAGTATGTTAAAACAAGTACTAAACTATAAACAAGTAGGATTTATTCCAGAAATAGAGTATTAGTAAATTATTAATGAATTTCATTTCACTATAAATTGAAGGGAGGTTTGGGGAGGAGGGGAGACGTGGTACTGTCAGATTTGTCAAAAAAGGCATTTTATGTAAGTAGACCTTTTCTGAACAGCAAAAAGAAAAAAAAAAGTAAAATTCCAATTAAACTAAGAACAGGAAAAAATTATTTCTCAGCATCATGTGCCTCAAAAATCAATTGCAAAACAAAACAAAACAAAACCAAGAAAAGATATTAAAAATGCTACAAAGACAAGAGAACAACATTCATCATCACCTCCATTATTCTGTTTTTTTCTGCAGATTTTAACTAAGGAAATAGAAGTGCAAATATTTGAAGGTAAAGGAATACAAAATGTATTATTATTTTAAGAAGAAATATATTCCAGAGAATATAGGGAAAATTAATAAAACTAATAAGAGAAATTAAGGAAGCCAAATATAATAGTGTACCAAAATCAGTGCCATTTACTTTATAATTAAACAGAAAAAATAATTGTGAAAAAATTACCTGTTCATAATATCCATAAAATAGGAATAAAAAACTGCAACTTCAGAAAAAAAAATGTGTAAAAAGCATGCAGAGAAAAACATAGCACATGAGGTGGGTTTGAAAGTAGACCTGATAAATAGAGCAACAGAATAATGCAGGATGAAATGTTGGAGTACTGCAATGCTAATGATTGTCCTCGAATTAATCTATATAATTGATCAATTCTAATCAATACCTAAATATTATTGAGGGAATAAACATATTAAAAATAAAGTTGATGGCAATTTGCCTTCTCAGTTATAATATGAAGAACTATCACATATTAAACAGATCGTACCAATTTTGGTATGAAGAATGCAGGGTCAGAGGGAGGAACTATGGAAATGTAGTATATCAAAGTGCAGACTTCAAATTAGTTGGAAAGACTAAATACCTAACAGCTCATAGATGGCCAACTGGCCAACCCCCTAGCAAATATCATGCAATAGTCGTATTTCAGATCACATGTATTGCCAGATATAATTTACAGTGAAATGTAAAAAAATAAATACATAAAGTTAATTAGAAAAAATCTGAAGTGTATTTGCATATATTTTCTTTTTTTGGTGAGGAAATGTTTTCTTGGCAAGACACAAGATCCAGAAACTATGAAAGAAAGACTGATAGTTGATTCTATAATATTAGAATCATTCAACAATTTGTAAAGGTAAATTGTTAATTGGGAAAATATTTCCCCCATATAAAGACTTCTGCAAAACAGTAAATAAAAGATAAGCTAGAGAAAAATGGGCAAAGAATATAACAGATATTTCAAGATCTCAAAATATATAAAAAGATGCTCAAAATTATTAAAAACAAAAAGGTTGCAGTTACTTAAGAATGAGATTGTTTTACCTAACACACAATCTCTGGTGAGTGTGTGAGGAAAAAATCATTCTTGCTGTTTGAGAAGTGTGAATTGATACATTATAGAAGGCAAATAGATAATAAGTACCAACACAAAACTTTTGGACACTTTAACCTGAAAATTCTACTTTTAGGAAATCATTTCATCAGAACAAAAAAGTGCAAAGATCTATGAGAATGTTTATTGCTATATGATATGTTCATTGGCTGCCACCTACCTGTCCATCAATACACATTCAATATTGTGTAGTTATACAGCAAAATCCTACTAAACCATTAAAAAATAGAACTATATATGCTGATATAAAATTATTTTTACTATATGTTACATAATTATACTGCAAACAATGATGTATGGTGACCCAATTTATATATATACCTATAATTTTATATATATTTTTATTATGTAAAACAAGATTATAAAGACTATAGTAATCACATTTGAAAAGATGTGGATGAATGGGGCTGGAAAACAATATCTGAATAAAGTAATTTTGTCTGTGAAAAATGTCTATAAGCTATTTCTGTGACTTACTTTAGCTTTTCGGTTCTTGAGACCTTTCGGTGCTAAATAATATGGGAGGTGGGAAGTGAAGAGACGAGGGGATGGTCTGTTGACATGGTCCACTTTTTGTGCACTGTATTCCAGGAAGGGGACTCTATCACATGTGTTCACCAGTTCACTTCTGTTACGATGTCCTTCAAAATAAATCAAGCTTAATATCTGCTGAGTCCAGATTGTACCTGTGAAAACAAATAATCTTGTTTTCAACTCTGAGTTAATTTTTAATTATAAATGTCAACAGTAAGGCTGTCCTTCTTAAAATGATTTGGAACTTTTATTTCTTTTAATCACTCTAAGGATGTCAATAATTTGCCCAATTTTTTGTTTGTCTGCATTTACATTAAAATTAATGAAGATAAAATCAAGGACTCAGTTTCTTTTTCACTCTGAAGAGCTGTGATGGTTCTGACTCCATGATAGCAGTGATTCAGATTAATCTTTCAGCTCCTCTCTTTCCTGTACTTCAAGTAAAGTCTGTTTCCACAATTTTCTCTGGCTACCTTTGTTTCTCTTTCCTTAGTCTCCTTTCTTAGAGTGTTATCTTTTAGAAGACAAGTTAAGGGCTTCCCTGGTGGTGCAGTGGTTGAGAGTCTGCCTGCCGATGCAGGGGACACAGGTTCGTGCCCCTGTCCGGGAGGATCCCACGTGCTGCGGAGCGGCTGGGTCTGTGAGCCATGGCCGCTGAGCCTGCGCGTCCGGAGCCTGTGCTCCGCAACGGGAGAGGCCACAACAGTGAGAGGCCCGCGTACCGCAAAAAAAAAAAAAAAGTTAAGAACTCAAGTCCTCTTTTACTTTTTTTGTTTACTTATTGTGTAGCATAAGTCTTCCCACACAATATTGAATAACAGTAGTGACAGCAGGCATTCTTTTCTTGTTCCTGATTTTAAATGTAATATTTATTTGTATCACTGTTGCACACGATATTGTGGAAATTTTGGTAAACTCTATCAAGTTGAAGAAGTTCCCTTTTCTCCTTAGTTTGCTAATGGTTTTCATTATGAATGACTGCTGAATTTTTTGAATGCTTTATTGAGATGATAATTCAGGCTTTCTCTTATACTTCAGTAATGTGGGTGAACTACATTAATAATTTTTTAAACCAATCTTGATTCTTGAAAGAAACCCACTTTTGTCATAGTGTATTTATGATTTAACATTGCTAAATGTGTTTTGCTTATATTGGGTTTAGGATTTTTGCATTTTTGTCCATGAATATATCATCAATGTTCTAAAAGGATGTGAGATGCCAAAAGTCTCACAATGTCACTATGCAACTGATGTACCTACGTGATAGATTTGATGCAATTTATAGTGAATCCTGGGGAGACTCACTAATCTCCCCTCCAAGATGAGCAAGAATCCAGCAAGCTGCACTGGGGACTGGTGTGTTGTGTCCCAAACACTAGACTAGGATTAATGGGAAAGAAAAGACTCTTTTATGGACAGCTGTGCTTGACCTAAAACTAAGCAAACTGAGATACCACTAACATCTAACGCAGGAAAAAAAAAGCTCAATCAGATGTGCTCATAAGTTCTGAGAGTGGAAGAATTCAGGGGTAAAGCAACATGTTACTAATTTGGGGAAAGTAAACAAGGTCATGATTTTCAAAGTAGATTAAACTGGAGCATTTTCATGAAAATCAGGAACACTTTTTTTTATTGCCTTAGACTCCAGTATATCTTTGAACCACATTAAATACTCTGTACAACATTGCTTCAGTGGCGCCAGTCATCCTATCATCCTATGTTCTGAAAAGTGCAATATAAAAAATAAGGTTGGGTTTTTGTCTTTTTTTTTTGGAATTTAAGATTAAGAGCAATTAATTTTAGTTTAAAATTATTGTATTATTCTAAGGAAATAAAAAACAATTAGAGTAATTGAAAAGAATATTAGGAATTAGTTCTGACTGAGATATGATGGTAACAAAAATCTTCCTAGGTTTTTAAATATATTTTCTTCAATTCTCAGACCAAGCCAACAGGTCAGTATTTACCAAGTACCTCCTCTTGGTTCAATATTTGGTTTCTTCATATATTCCATCAGAAATGACAATATATGCATTACAAATGCATAGAGATTTGAGATTTATTTAACTTTTTGTGATCCTAAACAGTTCTGTAAATGTAGATGGGTTACCGTCAGTGTCTGGAAAAGGGCACATTTGTCCACATGAATTACCAAACCATGGTGAAGACTAAAACAGGTGGCCACTCCTCAAACTTACCAGATTTTGGATATGTAATTATAAACACATCATCATCTCTAATTTCAAAATCATCTAAATGTTCTACAAGGTCAACATCAACTAAAGAACGTTGAAAATAACAGCCTTTAAAGTTCAATAAATATGTGTCTGTGTTGTCCATAATTATTCACCTACAAGTAAAAACAGATACAATTATTTCAAAGTTCTGAGTATTTCATAATAACGACTAACACTTCCTGAGTGTTCAGTATGTGCAAAATGTCCCATGTGTATCAACTCATTTAGCATACAAACCACCTTCTCTATATTAAATCATTTACTCTTCACAGCAACCCAAAGTTGCTAAAGGTATTGTTATTACAACTACTTCAAGGATTAAGAAACTAAGACACTAAGAGGTTAAACATCTTTTCCTAAAACCCCATGAATGAGTTATAATCATGATTCCAAACATACAGATGAGAAAATTAAGGCACAAGAGGTTCGGCAAACTATTCAAGGTGGCCCAGCTGCAAGAGTGATGCCAATTTAGCCAGAGTCCATGCTTTTAATCACTTTATCATATTTTCTTAATACTTTATATTTTTATTCTTTTTTGTTGTTGTTGTTTTTTGTGGTACACAGGCCTCTCACTGTCGTGGCCTCTCCTGTCGCGGAGCACAGGCTCTGGACGCGCAGGCCCAGCTGCCATGGCTCATGGGCCCAGCCGCTCCGTGGCATGTGGGATCTTCCCAGACTGGGGCACGAACCCGTGTCCCCTGCATCGGCAGGTGGACTCTCAACCACTGCGCCACCAGGGAAGCCCTATATTTTTATTCTTACATTTTTTTCATTGTTCCAGAAATAGAAAATTCTTTAATTAATACAATTTTTATTTCTTTTTTTTTTTCCTGGAACATAAATAATCTGCTATCTGTGAAAGAAGCTTCTGAGGCTTTGAGATCTGATACACTGTTTGAAATGAAATGTGGGAAATGTTTTGCATGAGAAATACTTATTGCATTTCCTTTGGAAATGTTCCCTCATATAGTTGCAAGATGTTTTATGGTAATCGTCATATTTTCCAAAAGGAGTTTTTTATCAGAATTCTGAAATAAATCTAAAAATGAAAGCCAAAAATCAGAAGCAAACTGTCTAAAGATACACCTGTTCAAAAATTGGACCAGGGACTTCTCTGGTGGCTCAGTGGTTAAGAATCCGCCTGCCAATGCTGGGGACACGGGTTCAATCCCTGGTTGGGGAAGATCCTACATGTTGCAGAGTAGCTAAGCCTGTGCGCCACAACTACTGAAGCCCACGCACCTAGAGCCCATGCTCCACAATAAGAGAAGCCACCGTAATGAGAAGCCCACGCACCACAACGAAGAGTAGCCCCCACTCACCACAACTAGAGAAAGCCTCCACACAATAATGAAGACCCAACACAGCCTAAATAAATAATAAATAAATAATTTTTTAAAAGTTTACAATTGGACCAGGCAAGCATTTCTTTATTAGCCATGCCTGAGAAATGTTGAATGTGAAATAGGTGAGGGATCCCAGAAGTTCTAATAACGTTAGATTTAGAATAAGCATATATTTTCATTATGCACTTTTAAAAATTTCTGTGAACACCAAGAAAATGAATTTGTTAAAAAGCTGCACATATGGTTTTGTCTAAATTGCATGTCAAGAAACAATTAATCCCTTTACAAACAATCAAACTTGAAGTGAAAGCCAAGGATGACAGTGTGAGTCACTGTCACATACCTCCTGATGCCCCACAAAGCCACCCCAAACATGCCCTAAAAAACACCAATTTCAGAAACTCAGAATGCTGAGAAGAGAGGAAAGAGCGCCAGGCATTCCACAGAAACCTTCTGAGCATCACTCTTTTTTGCTATTTGTAAGCTTAGTCTCTCTTGCACTGTCTCAGAAGAGAGAAAATTAGAGAGCTTTTTGTTACAGAAACAAGAGAAAAAGAGTGTAGATTCATATAGGATCTCAGTATTGGCAAATCATATATTGTTTGTATCTCCTTGATGAATATAGAAGAAAGTGCTTGGATAAAGAGATAGGACATCTAATGTCTCCCTCTTATTCATTCACTGAAGTCTGAAAGAAGAGAAGGAAAAACAGAAAATTGAGGAGAAAAAAATAAATACATTTGTATGCTGAAGAGAGGGTGCGACTTGAAAAGGCTCTAAATCTACCCTTTTTCTACTCACTGTTACAGATAAACTGAGGAAGCAAAATCCACTCCTGATATCACTTTAAGGATGATAGCGATCCACTTGTGGTTGAGAAAGAAATATTCCCTGCAGAGTTTGTCTTGGCCAATGAGTAGTGTTCCAGGGTGTAAACAGCTAGCTCAATCTGGAAAAATAAATTGGGTAAGATTTAGTTGGCATTAACATTATCTGTTTACTCCAGAAAAAGCAAAGGAGTCAAATACTAGAGAACTTCAGGTACACAGTAGTCCTGCTTACTTAATTTTGGCATCCGTACAAAACACAAATCAATCTGTGTGATACACCACATCAACAGATTGAAGGATAAAAACCATATGATAGTCTCAATAGATGCAGAAAAAGTTTCTGACAAAATTCAAAAACACCCATTTATGATAAAAAAAAAAAACTCTCCAGAAACTAGTTTACCTAGTTCTCCACATTGGGGGGGAATCAGATATCATGAACTGGCTCAGAGGTATGCTAATGGGGAAATGCTGTGTGGGCTATACATTTTATCACTTGTACTTAATTGCCACACAAGCAGTGTACATGTGCTTTTAGCAATACACTTAAAACAAGCAGTAATACATGTCATGGATAGTTATACTCTGTGACAACTTCACTAGAGGATTTTCTTTTCATCCTGAACATTGGGGTCAAAAGTATGGTTAGAAGTAAAACAATAAATTTCCATTTTGATAGGAAGACAAACACTTGGTAACAGTGCAATTGAATTAGTTGGATGGTTCTTACAGTCTGGTCCAGATTTTTATGTCAGCTGTCTTCCACTGCTATTGTCTCCTTCTCATCCTGCTGTGAGTGTCATTTGGGGTCAGCAGTCTTTTCTGTAGACAGTCCAATGCAGAGGCCCTTCTTAAATGGAAATACGACTTCAGGAGTCAATTCCCTTCACTTCTGTTGTACATGTGCTAGTTAAGAGTACCTGATAAGAGTCCTTTTATTCAGTTTGGAGACAGTCCTTTAAATGATGTCTTTTCCAGTATGCATAGCCTCTTAGATAGATGTAGGTCACAGGGCATCTGATCTTCAACCAAAGATAGATTACTGTGATCTGCTTTAGAAACAAGCTTAGGATATTCTTTTACTAATTCAATTAAACTTTATAATAATGTAACATAGCAACAAGGAGACATCTTGGACTTAGATAATAAATGCAAAGCCTCAGTAAATACAAAACTTCAATATCCACAAACGTATATTATTGAAACATAATTTTTCTCTCTGGATTATCCTCATTTTTACTAAATCCAGCTAAATTAAGGCTGATTTGTTCAAAATAAGTCTGGTTTCAATAAACATGGCCTGATTATTCATATAAATGTAATTGCTCATATAGGCTCTTTTAAATTGGCTGCACTGGAACTTTTCATTAGGAATCTCAGATTGAACTTTTAAAAGGCCTTTCAAGGCCAGGAAAGCCATGCCAATGGCTTGCCTTCAGATTCTGCCTGTGATATACATATACTGGTCAAATTTGTTTCTTTTCCAGGTCACCGGAATATCTAGATTTCTGCACATGCCAAGAGACAGTTTTTTCCATTCACCTGATAAGGTTGCTCTGAACCCAAGAGTCTCCAATTTCTGGAGGAAACAGGCAGCAAGAAAAGAAAAATATGTTAATTTTAACCACAGTGTAAATTACCAAATTGTTGTAAATCATGAGTAGCTTGAGGAAAAGTGCTTTTTTATATCTGAAAAACAAAGATTAGAAGCCAGTAGTGTGTCAGACAAGTCATAAAAATTAGTCATATTTAGTAGTTCATTTAATCCCATATAATTAATCTTTGTTCTGTTTGAGCCCAGTTTTTCCATTAGTTTCATTGACCTTGGCTGATGATTGAGGATGATAGTGACAGTGATAATTTCAAGAAGTTCATGAAGTTTTTGTTAAGGCTTGTATGATTTGTCCAGTGAAGTGGATGTCTTGATCACTGGAGATTGTAGAAAGTACACTCCAAGTGGGAAACACAGTTTCTAACCTTTTCCTTTTCATTGTGAGGATATCAGCCCTGCAGCCAGGGAAAACTTTAATCCACCGAATAGAAAATGAGGTTTGTCAGGAGCCAGGAAAAGTCAAGTGGCCATCTTGGACTTCCCATAGCCCTGATTTTAAAAAATATACAGTTATTATTTATTCATTTTAAATTTCCTGATTTAGGAGTAGACCGTTTCCATGCTATAAGGTCACCAGAATGGCAGAAGTCTGACAATGAGGAGCTCAGTCTTAATGATGTACAAAATTCTTTTCTCAAAGTGCCTTTTTCACAACCCTTTCATCACTTTCTGGATTCATATTAATTTGTCCCTTATTTTTTCCATCCAGAAAGAGCCAACTGTAGGACAAAATTATTGGCATCATTATTTTCCTCAACAAAAATATTTCCAGTCTTTATATCTTCTCTCGCTGGCAATGTATCTCCTACTTGCATTACACATTGAAATGTTTCCTATATCATTTTAGTAGTTTTAATTACATATTATAATTTTTAACCTTTAAAAAAAAACACCTTGTTTTCTAGTGAGAACTAAGAAGAAAGCAATTGTGAATTGTTTGTCATATTGGCATTCTCTGATTTGCAAATTTAAGAACATATTCTATAACCTCTAAAAACATGCATTTTCCCAAAGCACAATTTCTTTTCTCAAAGTGGCACAAGACATGTGTCTAATAAACACAAACATCTTTAGTTTCCCTCTTGCAAGAAGATAAAAGTAGGTAAATTCAGATTTGTTTCATTTGTAAGCACTTACCTTTCTTTAAGCCAATTAAATAAAGCTCATTTTAAAATTAACCTCAGCAATATTATCCAAAGACAAAGACACATACTGAGACATACATACATCCAAACAAACAGAGATCTCTTTGTTTCATCTTTTTATAGTTCATGAATCAGCCATTGCAATTAAACATACCAGTTTACATATAACAGAATAGTCAAATTTACACATTTGATTTTAAAAGGCTTCTTTTTCTTACCTTTTTTCCTCCCTTGGCTTGAAGTTCTAATTAACCCAAGGCTGAAGTCCCAGGCAAAGTGGGCTGTGTTTTTACTTCAAGGACATGATAAGAGTTAACTTCAAGTTTTCTCCGAAGAATATTTTTGTTCTCTCAGGGTTAGTGTTCTGAAAAAAGTATTTTATCAAGCCAACTTTCTATAACTGCACATGGGAAAAGGGCCAGTTTTGGAATTTCCAAAGAGTTTCATCTCAACAAATTTTCTCCAGAGTCTAAAGTATATCGTGACCACAGTGTTAAATTATTTTTTCCTTATTTATAGGTTTATAATTATAGGTTGACCAGTCCGCCAAAATATTCCCTAGAGGGTTGTCAGTTGGAAATGAAGAAGCACTTCCCATGTTGAGTCAAATTAAACACTGCCATACTCCCTCTGGAGACTGTAGGTGAGAATCCTTCCTTGTAGCTTCTAGATCATGGTGTTTGCTGAAAATCTTTGCCATTCCTTGGCTTACTTCACTCCAAACTCAGCCTCTGTCATCACATGGCCATTTCACTCCGTATCTTTCTTCTTCTTATAAGGACACCAGTTTTATTAGATTAAGGACACACACCACTCCAGTGTCTGAATATAATTAATTATATGTACAATGACCCTATTTCCAAAAAAATGTTACATTTTGAAGTAATGGGGGTTAAGACATTAACATGCCCTTTAGGGATAATTCAAGCTATAGCAAGTTTAATAGATTTTTTTTCCATGTCTATCTCCTCCTTTCAAGGATGCTACAAGGTTCTATGTGCCGTGCTTATACTCCATGACCATTTTCCCTTGACTGTAAGTTGACTGCTCACAGAAGCTAGATGACCTAACCTATACCCTTCAGTTTCTCTCCCTGGAGTTTTCATGTGAATTCAACAACACCAGCCTATCTCTGTTTGTTATTTGAACTAATTTCATTTGGATTTAGTGTCTGACTACAATCATGCTGAAGCACAGCTAGTCTTCAGAGACACAAAAAAGAATGTCTTCTTCACATAAAGAACACAGAAATGAGAGACCACGAAAATCCAAGACAAGAGAGAGAGAGAAAAAAATTGAAAAAATATGTGAATCCCTAATGGCTTCATACCCTTTGGTTCTAGTTCTTCAGGAAGGTATGACAATTTCTTCTGATTTCTTGAATCGTATCAATCATAATCATATTATGCATAAACTGGTCAGAAGTAGATTATTCTTATTTGCAACAACGTGCTTGACCAAATGCCAGGGAAATCATTTTTAAAATGAGAGAAAATCTCAGATTCATATTCCCACAGATATGTAAATAGATGTTTTAACTGTAGAAAAATAATCCAATTGTATGGACGTGGAAAAAAAATGTTAGTTTAAAAAAACTGGAATGAATGTAAAATTTAAATTACAGAAGACTGAGTTAATTGAAAGGAGTTGAGAAGCTTCCTAGAAATGAAATTACAGGATAATAGGACGTAACGATTTTTAAGACTATTGATCCTGTATCAATATTGCTATAAAGAAGATTGGAAATGATTTCCATTTCCACAAAAATATATGAGAATGTTTTTTTCATCCTACTCTTTCTAACATTGAGCATTCTGCATTTTTAAACTTTTGCTAATTATGACTAAATGTTTTGCATTTTCTATAAATGGCAAGATTTTGGTTGTCTGGTCTCACAAAATGTTTGCATGTTCAGGAATTATTTCACAATTTTTATTAATTATGACATAAATACAGAAAAATTCACAAATTCTACATGCACGTCCCAATGAAAATTTTCAGTAACAACACCTAGGGAACCAGCACTAAGACTCAAGAAAAGAATATTACCAACACCCCAGGAATTCCTTCATTTACCTGTCCAGAGGTAACAACTCTGCTTCTAACCCACAGAGTAACTTTGCTGTTTTTTAAATCTTACATAGCAAATCATTCAACAAGTGCCCGGTTTTTCTCACTGAATATTACGTTTCTGAGGTTCATGTATATTTTCCATGTAGTCGTAATGCATGCATCCTAATTGTGTTTCCTTATTTGAAATGCCATAATTGTTTTTTTAACTGTACGTGGACATTGAGCTGTTTCCATTTGTTGACTATTAAGGACAGTGGCGCTTGAACTGTTTATGATTGTAAATTTCCTAAATTTTTTCTTTTAAGTTTCTTCCACTGCTTTTATGCTTCACGAGGTTTTCTCTATTTGGAAATTATAAACAGATTCACCTATATTTTTCTAGTTACCAAAATAACTTATCTTAAATATTCAAATATGAAATGTGAAAATTAAATTCCACGTGGTAGAATTAGTTTAGTGAGTAATATGCTTTGGGCACAGTTACAGGTACAGCTGAAATGGAGCAGTACCCTAAGGTCCTTGCTCGCGTCCTCCATCTGCCTTTTGTCTGTGGAAAAACTTTAAGTTTCTTATTTCTCTGATAAGTTTAATCGGAGAAGTGAGAAAATGCAGAAACAAAGGAAAACAGTCAAATGAGACCACATAATAATGTAGTCATTAAGCAAAGTCAAGGCCCCTTAGTTCTCCCTCAAGGGCTGTAGATAATATTCTGAGCCATGTCCTCTGAGCTGTCTTATAGAGACTGAAACCCCTACCAGGTGGAAGAAGTTAACTACATGATGACCAGGCTGTAGCCATGACACAGGCTGCCACAGTTCCGAGAATTGGCCTCAAAGAAATGGAAACAAACTGACCTTGGCACTGAAGATTAACTGTACTTAAAACAATCAAGATGACACTGGTCAGACCACCGATGACCGATTTCAAGATGACGTCAGAGCTGACTGTGCTGTTTCTGCATGTAGCCACCTCGCGCCGTCTATAAAAGAAAGGTCTTGCCCCCGATTGTCAGTGGGGGGCAGTTGGCCTGGCACAGACATTCCCCCCACCCCGGTTGCAGGCCTCGGAAATTTCCTTTCCACCAACCTTGCCTCTTTATTGGCTTTTGAGCGGCGAGCAGCCAGACCCCACTTTCGGTTATACAACCGAAACTATTTTCAAACAAATAGTTAAATAATTGAACCATTAAATAATTACTCCATTTTTGAACCTTTGATTGCCCTTCAGACTTTGTGATCTGGTAAATTATTAATAGATGCATTGTGTTTACACGAGATTTCTCTATTTTGACATTCACAATGATTTTAAACCAAAGACTTAAGGTTTAAATAAAAGAATAAAAGGATTTTTAATGTTTGATTGATCCTAAATTTAATTGCATATAAAGAAAGTATACACACTACAGAAAACTCTCTCCATACATTTACAATTCATGTTGCATGCTTTTTGTCTATCCCTTTATCATATAGGTTACAAATGCAAACTATCTCTCAAATCATTTTAATTTTCAAAATTTCAATGTGTTCATCAAACTCATGACAACTAATCTAAGCACAGTTTAGTCACTTTGTTTTGTAATAAAATTGTATAATTAACATTTGTATGAACAGCACAAATTAATATGTGTATTAAAATATGCTCCCTGGTTAGCAGATTTTTTTATATGATTCTTTCACATTGATTCTACTCCTCGTTTATATCCTAGATGAACTTCAAGGGAAAATCTTTCATCTTCCTTTGGAAAATTCTGTCAAATCTTTCATTTTGCTCCATGGTCAAGTGATGTTTCCAGTGTCCAATGATACCTCGTGGGACAAGCACATGGACAGCACCTAGGTGAGGAGGTAGCACTAACAGGACAAAACTTCCTACAACTCACTTTAATCTCTTCTCCAACCCAAGCCAAATATTCATTAGTTCTCTGTGGGGTTTGGTACCTCACTTTTTCTTACAGGGTGATGAGCTAAGAAACAAATATAGGATGCAGTAACATAGACAATAGGGTTATAGACCAGTTTCTTATCTGTTAGACTCCACCAACCACTACACACTATCTGGTTTGGAACATAACTCAAGCTCTTCCTAACACACTTCCCCTCACTCCTGTCCCGTAACCACTGCACCAGGCAAGGCCACATTGTATTTCTCACTTAGAACAACTCTTAGTAGCTTTGGAGTTCATAGTTTCATCTTTCCTATTGTCACCTTTCATTAAATAAAAACTTAATCCAAGGAAGGCTTCAATCCCTTTTTACCGAAGAAATCATTACTGCTAAGAAAATAAGAGTTTAATGTGACAGACACTTGACCTTATAATTATTCAGACTGCCTTTTTCCACGATTTCTAAATGTTAAAAAATAAGCCATTTCTAGAAGACAAAGTATGTTAATAGAAGAGAAAAATTATGAGATTCCAACTAAAGTGAATAAATTAAGGCAAGTAAACTGAATCTTATGGTTGGTGAACTTTCTAATTCATTTCCAGTCTTATAAGGGTGAAAAGGTGGAAAACTTAGTAGCTTAAATTATTTAAGCACAGACTCTGACCTATTATTGACTGACCACTAAGCTATGCTGCTATGCAGGCCCATATGTAAATATAAAACTGCAACTTTTAATTTCTTTTAATGAGTGGAGACATCAAAGTTTGCATCCTGCCGGGGAAACAGCTTCCATAGAGTTAATTTTATTCTTAAGTTCATTAAATTGCCTTTCTGAGTTATCTTGTACCTCGTTGAATTTCTTCAAAACAGCCATCTGGATTCTTTATCAGTTAGATTGCAGCATTCTGTGTCTTTCGATTGCTTTGCTGAAGAATTGTTTTCTTCTTGTGATGCCGTATTACTGGGCAATTTCCTAGTGTGTGATAATGTTAAAATGCACCTTTACCATCTCATTTGAAATGGCAAACACCTTTCTTATTTAGGGAAGGCTTTGTTTACCTTGATTCAACAGTTCAACAGATCGACAATTAGAAATCTTTCTTTTGTTTTCCAGAAGCTGGCTCTTAGCACAAATTTTTGGTTTCTTTTAGTGCAGCTGACTTGCAACTAAAGTTGGGAGTGACCCTAAAAAATATGGCATGAAAAGAAGGTGGTGGCAGCGTGGGAGAGATACATGCATAGCACTGGGGCTTTGGCTGTGTCTAGAGCCCGTAGGGAGTCCCAGGGGACTGTGGGTTGTCCTCTTGCTGAAATCATGGGGTGGACAGCAGGAAATGTGATCCGTTATTCTCTTTGTCTGCCTTCTTCCCTTTCCTTTCCCTCCTCCCGGTCACTGAGGTCTCTTCACAGATACAGGTGCTGCTGGAGAGCAACAGGTCTCTCCAGCTGCACCCGGGGGAGCCAGACAGATTTTCACTAAACACCTTTCCACCTCCTTGGCTAGAGAGGCCACCACTGCCACCTTTGCCTCTATAGCAGCCGTGACACCCTCGGCTCCACAGTCTCCTTCGAGGTCCAACCCACCCACTTTCAGATGCACAAAATGGATGTTTCTCAGGTGTCCTGGTGTGCTGTGCAGAGTCACTTTTGTTTGGTTATGGATGTCCAATTATTTATAAATCAAAGGAGAAGAGTAAAGGAATATCTTACGCCACCAAGGTGCTGATGTCATTCTCTATTTCTTTTATGTCAATGGGTGTGATTGAGACTTGGAAAAAAGAAATCTCTTCTCTCTGAATTTTTTCTAAATGCAGTTCAATTGTTTCCTGGGAAAAACAGGGATGCAGGAAATTTTAGGCAGGGAACCTAAGACGGGCCACATTCCAAGGAACAACTACAGGTGCCTATTTTTCTGTATAAAAATCTTACTCATACTAGAAGAGAGAGAATCTTATCTGGGAGTCAGAATTTTCTCTGAGAGCAATCCAATCTAGAGGATAAAGCCCAACATGGTCATCCAAAGCTCCATAAGATTCTAGAATCAAAACCCTATCACTCGGGGCTTCCCTGGTGGCGCAGTGGTTGAGAGTCTGCCTGCCGATGCAGGGGACACGGGTTCGTGTCCCGGTCCGGGAAGATCCCACATGCTGCGGAGCGGCTGGGCCCGTGAGCCATGGCCACTGAGCCTGCGCATCCGGAGCCTGTGCTCCGCAACGGGAGAGGCCACAACAGAGAGAGGCCCGCGTACCGCAAAACAAAACAAAAAACCCTATCACTCAAGTTCTTGTTCCAGGATGGTGGCATAACTCCTTTCAGCCTATCTTTCAAATATCTATAAACTCTCTGGACAAGTGACTTAAAAACCCACGACTAGTTGAAGATACCGAAGAGTAAACGAAGGCAGACATTGCGTGGAGGGGATGCAAAACTTGAATAATTGGTCATGACGGGGATGGTCTCCTATTTTTTGTTTGATAAGTTTTGGGTTTTGCCCTCTTTGTCCCTGGAGCCAGCCACTGTTGTCCAAAAATACTGGTGGTTAAAAACGCAATAGATTCCTTAACCACTAGATGACACTTGCAAACCCAGCATTTTCAAGATAATTTACTCATTTTGGTTGATAGATGGTGATACAGTCCTCTTCAAGATCAAAAGAGGTATTTAACATCATTTACAGAGTGAACAGGCAGTCTCAGGAATACACTCTGTGCTTAACAAAAAGGACTCTATTATGAACAAAGAGTTTTTTCTGAAATGGTAATAATGTATTGTATCAGGTGGTAATACAGAATAAAACTGACTTCCCCATTCACAACCATGCTTGGGCATGTGCTTATCTTTGCTTATTTTTTCATCATAAAAATTATGAATAATTAAAGAAACTCATCTCACTTGCTACAATACAAGCAGTACCGTCTTTCTGATATAGCTAGAACCTAACATTCTTGAAGCATAACTGCAGGACCTGCATGATTTTCATACCCACAGGGATTTTCAATAGATTATACTCTGTGCTTATTTATTAACTAAGCTATTTGCTACCTTGAAGCTGCCTCCTGGCACTGAGTCAAATTCAAGACAAGGCTCTAATTATATTATCTCAATTTAATTCTCCTATAACAAAATTAATGATTTATACTCCATGACTAAGCCCTGTGTGAAAAAGTATACATTTTCTGTTTTCTATACCAATTCATCTTATTCACAAATCCTCCTTCCCACTAACAAAATAAATAAATAATAAAACGATAGATTAAGATTATATGTCTCCTCCAGTGTTGAACATGGACTTGAGGTAAATTTAATTAAGACAGTTTAAACTCCCTGTCAAGCTGTTTCACTACTCCTAACTTATCTTTCCTTCTACTTCTCCTTCTCAAAAGGGTCTGCATACTGGTGGGGGGAGTCTCGTCTAGACTGGCCTATGTTCTGTCTTCTCAAGCTTTGCAGACCTCCAGGGAAATGTCTCTCCTTCCACCACGGCCTCTGGCACAGGTGTGTGTTGCATGAAACTGGCAGCTACTGCTGGTGACCATGGACCTGCTTTGCCTGAGGTCTCAAGTTCCTCCTACTCAGGAGCCTCTTATCCCCCCTCCCAGGTTTCTTCTTGTCCGATTCTATTATTACTTCTTCATCCTTTATAGAGCTTGGTGGAACTTAACGTCCTAGAAAAATAGTTCTCAGCCCTATCACATCCCCACATCTTTGGGGGTTTTCCCTCTTTTTTTCATAACACTTTTTGTTTAAATTGAGATGTGATTTACATCCTATAAAATTCATGAATGTTAAGTGCGTAG